CTGTGTATGTGCGTCATAAATAAAACTTTCCATTAATTGTCTGCATGTAGTGCACCCATGTTGTGCAATGCCCATGGAGGACAGAAGAGGCTGTCAGATCCCCTGGAACTGGAGTTACAGACAGTTGTTAGCTGCCATGTGGTTGCTGGGATTCAAACCTCAGTCTTCTGCAAGAACAGCCAGTCTTCTTAACTGCTGAGCCATCTCTCCAGCCCCTGAACTTGATTCTTTTCAAGAGCAATATTCACTCTTGACCACTGAGTTATCTTTTCAGCTCATATTTGCTTTTGAGACATGGTCTTATACTATAGCTCAGGTTGATCTTGAATTTGTGGCAGTCCTACCTCAGCAACCTGTCCTCTGTCCTCCTCAGGTACCAGGCACATACATGCTACTGTTCTGTAAGACCAGACACTGTGCTTGGCATGTAACTCCAGTTCCAGAGGATCCAGCACCCTCTTCTGGCCGCCCAGGGCATTAAATGTCACAGGTACATTTGCATATGTGCAGGCAAAACACTCCTACACATAAAATATAAATAAACCATTTTTTAAAAAAGATCATATACTGTAAACCTTTACAATCTCACAAAACTAGTATAATGTCTTATATTCCATTATGAGCCCAATAAAATAATATGCAGCAGTCTTACCTAGCTGCAGTCTGGAAGAAAATAATTACAATTTAGATGGGAGGAGATGAGAGTGACATATTAAGGGCAGTCAACCACACACAGATGGGAATCTATAGGATAAGAATCAGGGAATTTAATTTGCTACTGACAGGAACTGGGCCAGTAGGAGGAAATTCCACAGGAAGGGTAGGAAGGATCAACTCAACATACTTTAAAGCACCAAGTAATTTCATGTAAACTTTAAATTACTGAAGACCAGTGAGTTGATATTATTTGGAAATCTCCAATGCAGCAGGCAACATTCTGTTTCATTCTGTTGAGTCAGGGTCTCCCTATAGCCCTAGCTGGCCCGGAACTTACTATGTAGACCTAGGTGACTATGATCTCACAGAGTTCTACCTACCTCTGCCTCCTGAGTGCTGGGATTAAAGATGTGTACCACCACTGGGCCTGGCTAACACATTGGATTTTAATGGTTTGTATGTATCTGTGTTATCTGTTCACAGGAATTCTGTTCATACACCTAGCACAGTGCCTGGTGTGGTGAGAACAGTATTTGTTGGGTGAGTGTGGAGACTGCTGCCAGTTCAGCAGTGTTCCCAACCGGCTCCTAGCTCTGGTACTTTACAGCATGCAGAGTGCTCCACCTGCCTGCAGAAGCTTAAGGCTAAGGAACTACACAGTACTTGTCCATAAGAAGTTGGGAAACTCTAGAAACTTTTTAATTTTCTTTATTGTTTAAAAGATTTATTTAACTGGGTGTGGTGCTGCATGCCTGTAGTCCCAGCACTTGGGAGGCAGAGGCATTCAAATCTCTGTGAGTTCAAGGCCTGCCTGGTCTACATAATGAGTTCCAGGCCAGCTGTGTTACAGGGAGATCCTGCTTCAATAAGACAAAAAAAAAAAAAAAGATTTATTTATATATATTTATGTATATGTGTGAGTGCCTACAGGTATGTGTGTGCACCATGTGTGTGCCTGGTACCTGAAGACAGAAGAGGAGATTGGATTCCTCAGAACTGGACTTACAGGAAGTTGTCTACTACCATGTAGGTGCTGGGAACTTAACCAGGGTTTTTTTTTTCTTATTTTTGGTCTTTTTGAGACAGGGTCTCCCTTGTAGCCCCAGCTGGCCTGTAACTCACAGAGATCCAGCTCCCTCTGTCTCCCAGGTGCTCGATTAAAGGCATGCACCCCCACGCATGGCTCTTAACCCAGGTTTTCTGCAAGAGTACCAGGTACTCTAAATTACTGAGGCATCTCTTCAGATCCGCCCCCCCCCGCCT